GAGATCTGCAGAAGCTTTGCAGGCATAAGTTTAAAAATCTAATTCAGACCCATGTGTCTATATGCAAATGAAGGGATGCTCTGTCTTGAGATTTAAGAAAATTTTAATAATTAGGAAATGATTGGGATGTGGAGATAAGCAATGCACGGCCTTACCTGCTTGAAGCCAGGCAATAAGCATCCCTTTCTTCCCTTTGTTAATTAAAAATGTTTCTATACAGTTTCTTTCTGATAAACAATGTTGCTCACCTCCATGTTGGTTAAACTATTCAGAATTTTAATCATTTATCTCCTTGCTTATCTGTTTCATGAGTCTGAACTTTAAGTCTTTTGGGCATCGTGTACAGAAAACATTCTGTAAGTGATAAGTAATTCTGCCTCTTACTGTCAAGTTGTGATTGCTTGATCAAGGTGTAAGTTGAATGCGGTTGCCCCTGTATGCGTAGGTGCTTTGACACAGCTATGGTTTCTTGTTCAAATGGTTGGAGTTGGACACCGTGCAGTGTACAATGATTACAGTTGTCTTTCTGCTAGACCCAATGCTCAGAATTCCGTAGAAAAGCCTGCAGACACTAATAGACTTGGGGTCTGGCTCAAGAGGACTAGTGAATCTTGTTCTCTGTCTTGACAATTGTTAGTGGGATGTGTGAATATACCATTAAAACCACTTTTCTGTTAAAAAGGAGAAGAAAATAACAACAACAGATCAAGTACTGGGTCAATGTTTGGTAATTTACACTGGCAGATGATCCTTGTGTTTTAACATGAGCCTGGAAATTTGTTATCTTAGTTTAGCCCAATTCTTGCTACTTTTAATGGCTTTTGGGAATGCAAATAGCTCTACAGTCATACATAAAAATAAGGAGGCTGTTTTTTTATAAAAATGTGGTAATAGGCATAATGCTAAAATGAGACTTTCAAGTATTTTAAAAAATGAGTCAGCATATCAAGGATAACAGGATCACAGATTCTCAAAGAACACCTTTTATAAAACATATTTAAAGGGTTGATTGGTTAATTGGGTACTTGCACACTCAGAATAAATGATTGTTCCCATTTCTTTTGCTGTGTAGAGAAGAACTGCCATGGATTTACAGGGAGCGAGATCCTGCTCCGAAATGTGCACATGTCCTAGACAAGGTTGTTAATGATTGTTTGCATGCAGCTCCATGTAAAAAACCAAAAATTAAGTAAGGAGGCAAAATAGCTTGAGGGCTGCCTTTTATTGAAGTGGGCTTCGTGGAGGAGTGGAGTCGGATCAATGAACAGTTCTGCCTATTAGCTGTCATTAAGGTAATCAATTTTGAATTTTACAGAACAGATGGAATTCCAAATAACAGGTGTCTTCAAGTGGAGAGAGGACACATTTAAATTGGAAGACCTAGGCCAGACTCAGGAATAAAATGATGGCAATATTAATATTTCATGCTCCTAACATTCCCCTGCCACTCTGTACTTCACAGAAATAACCTGTAGTATGTTGAAGAGTGAGTACAGTTGGAGTATCTAATATAGTATGCTTAAATGTGCCTCTATTTGAGTAAATTTATCCAAATAAGAAAAAAAAGGTGCACTTTAGGTACATTATGCAGGCTTTTTCCTTACATAGTTATAATTCAGGTAATTCTGGGATTTCTATAGCAAGGGATGTCAATCCCTCTTTGCCCTGCTGTCTTCCTTCCAGGTCATAAATATCCTCAACCATTGTGAGCTGAGTCCTGTGCTGTTACTTCATTCCCAGTGTTGATTAAACTAAAAAATTTGGGTGTGCTCACATTGAGAAGTAGTGTGGATCCACCCAATGAGGGTGAGAGAGATGGCATTGAGGTCTCAGATACACATTTTGGACAAGGGGTTATTTCAAGCTAGTTCCAGATGGATATGAATGTCCATTAGTGG